GGGTCGCTCGTTGATGCTTCTTCGTCAAATTTGTCTACAACTACAGTACACGAATATGGCAATTCATCGCCAGTGAGCCTAAAAAGCTTCTCGCGCACCATCTCTGCCACCAAAAAGCGCTCGCTTTTGTCAGTGAGCTCCTCGGGACTGTACCAAAATGGGCCAGCAGGAAGATAGGGGCGACAAATTTGCAAAAGTCTTTCTATATCTTTGGGGTTTTTGGCGCTAAGGGGCACCATCTGGGCAAAGGCAAAGCGCTCTTGCATGCTCTTGAGCCAAGGCAGTAGCTCTTCTTTATTGTGCATCTTATCCACTTTATTGGCTACCAGAATCACTGGCTTTTTATCATCAAGCAAGCTCAGGACTTTGGCATCAGCCAGCGTAAAAACCCCAGCCTCCACCACCATAAGGGTGGCGTCCACATCAGATAATGCCGCCATCACAGTTTTATTAAGGTTTTTGTTCAAGGCATTGCTATGCTCCGTTTGAAAGCCCGGAGTATCAACAAAAACGTATTGCGCGTCGCCTTGGGTCCGAATACCCAAAATGCGGTGGCGTGTGGTTTGCGCCTTGCGTGAGGTTATACTGACCTTTTGTCCGACCAGCGCATTAAGCAGCGTGGATTTACCCACATTGGGTCGCCCCACTATGGCCAATAGACCGCAATAGGTGGTTTGGGGATTCATGGACTCGTTAGGTGCAGGTTTGTTTGCAGAGTCAGTTTTGACAGATTCGGCAGCAGCGGGTGTAGCATGGGTAGTAGCGTTTTGCGCTACCACAGGTTCACCCCCTCCCTTTGGGGTTGGATTGTTTTGCATAAAATATAATAGTTCAATGAAAAAATGCAATATTGCACATCTGGCATTTTCCCATAAAAGCGCCCATGACAACAAGTACCGTCACTAACTCAGCTGCTGTACAACAGCCCGATTGGATATTTAACACCTGTAGCACTGGGGTAGTTTTGCGTGTGCTTATGATGGTAGAAGCGCTGTTAGCCGTCTTGGCGCTATCGCAAAGCCGGGAGTTTACACTTTGGATATTGCAATTCTCTTGGCTAACTGCCGTGGCACTACCTGCTACCGTCATTTGGTTGTTAGGCGTGTGTTTTGCCAAAAAATGGTTGCAAAAAGCCAAATCCGTATGGGCTTACGCATGCATCACGTTATGGGCAGCACTGTGCGCATTTCTTTCAGGTCTTTTACTCCAAACCATGCAAGACACAGACTTGGCACCCCAAACTTTGACTGCTTTAATCCTATGCGCGGCAGGACTAGGCTTGGGCTGCGCTTGGTGGCTAAACACACGTGCAAAAAGCCAAGCACCCGCGCAATTAGCGGCACGACTGACGCAACTTCAAGCCAAAATCCGTCCCCATTTTTTGTTTAATACACTTAATAGCGCAATAGCCCTCGTGCGTGACGAGCCAAATAGAGCCGAACAAATATTGGAAAACCTCAGCGACTTATTCCGCTACGCACTTGCACAGCAAGAAAACACGGTTAGCCTACAAACGGAGCTAGAGCTGGTTGCCGCCTATTTGGATATAGAGCATATACGCTTTGGTCAGAGATTGCGGGTGCATTGGCAAGTGGACGAAACTGCGCTTTGGGCTTTGCTGCCCCCTCTTTTGCTGCAACCACTGGTAGAAAATGCAGTAGTCCACGGTGTAGAGCCCTTTACGCAGGGAGGAGATATAGACATAAATGTACAGCGTAAGGGTGCAAAAATTTTTATCACTATTACCAATACCTTGGGAGAGGCTAATACTAGCAAGCGCTCCAGTGGGCACCATATGGCGCTAGAGAATGTACGCCAACGCTTGCATCTCTTATACGATTTGGAGGGGGATTTTCAAGTCCATGCCAACAAACAACAATACTGTGTACGCATTTCTTTTCCTATGAATCCATCTTCATGAACGACTTTTCCAATTTTCCAGTTCTACTGGTAGACGATGAGCCACTGGCTAGGGTGCGTATGCATCAAATGCTCAGCGATGCTTGCCCCCAGCTTTATGGACAAGTTATACATGCCAACGATGCAAAAGAAGCATTGCTGCAACTGGAAAAGCAAGCATTCGCACTGGCTTTGCTAGATATTAATCTTCCGGGAAAGTCGGGTCTCGACCTTGCTGCGCATATCCAACGCCACTACCCCAATACCCGTTTGGTTTTTGTGACTGCGCATAGCGAACATGCTTTGCAAGCATTTGACATGAACGCCAGCGATTATTTGACCAAACCTGTACGCGCTGCGCGCTTGCGGCAAATGTTGGACAAGTTGCAAATGCCAGCTCTAGTCTCAGCAAATACTATATTGCCAGCACCCAAGCTAGCGCAATATCTGGTCAATGCAGCGGACTCTACAAATTCTGGAAAAGCCGCTGATTCCAATTACCTGTCTATCGTACACAAAGGTGTCACACTGCGCATTGCTATTGACGAGATAGTGTATTTCAAGGCCGAACAGAAATATACGACTGTGCGCTGTTTAAACCATCAGTATATTAGCGAGTTAAGCTTGCAAGAACTAGAGCAACGTTTTGCCCAACATTTTTTGCGTATTCATCGCAACGCATTGGTTGCCCCCAAAGAAATCAAATCCTTATATAAAACCAAAAAACCAGGATTGCACGAAAGTTCAGAGGGGGCGTCTAATTGGGAAATCAATTTTTTTGCGATTGCGGATACTTTAGAGGTTTCTAGACGCCAATTACCAGCGGTTAGACAATTGCTGCAACATGAATGACAGGCCTATACTTTTACCCATAGGCAGTGGCGCGGGCATTTGGCTCAACTGCTTGCAACTTGCATATCGGCTTGGCTGACAAAAGCATCCGCAAAAAATGCATCTTGGGCAAGATTACACTTTTGCACAAAGTCCCTCTGCGCTGCATTAACCATTACTGGCGCGCCACAGGCGTATACTTGAAATCCTGACAAATTGGCAAAGTCTTGCATAACCGCTTCGTGCACCAAGCCAGTACGCCCTTGCCAATTATCCTCAGGCAAAGCATCAGATACTACAGGTTGGTAGCGCACATGGGGCATGGCTTGTAAATAGGTGTCTAGCCAGTCTTGCATATACAAGTCTTGCGGACGGCGCGCTCCCCAATAAAAGTAAACACACTGCGCATGTTGCAGAGCCAACATTTGCTCCATTATCGCTTTTATCGGCGCAAATCCTGTACCTGAAGCCAGCAACACTATAGGAAAATTACTATTTTGACGCCAATAAAAACTGCCGTATGGACCTTGCATACGCAGTATTTCTTTTTCCTTCATATGGGTAAACACGTGGTCAGTGAATTTACCTCCTGGCATGTGGCGTATGTGTAGCTCCAATTGCTGATTCACGACTTGCGCATTAGCTATGGAATAGGCGCGCTTGCTGTTTTGTCCCAACACAAATTCTATATACTGCCCTGGTAGATAGGAAAAATCTGTGGTCGCAGGGAACT